TGTGGGTGTCCTTTCCACTCACACTTTTTGCGGCGGCGCGCCGGGAGGAAGAGGCTCATCGTAGGCATCGTCCCTGCTGTCCGCAGGGTTCCCCTTTGCATTCGAGGCATCGTCGCCCGAATGCTTCCCCTTTCGCCAAGCACGGCGGGATCCACCGCCGTCATCACCGTGTCCATCGGGAGAATCAACGTCGCCGGGAGGATGAGCAGCCCGGGCAGCATCTGCCCAGGGATCTAGCGGCGCAGCCGCGTCATCATCATCGCGAAGTCCGTCGCCAGGCGAGGAAGACATCAAGGAGCCCTAAGGGCTCCGCTACCAATCTAAGACTACGGCAGCAGAGGAAGCACCTTTTCCCCAGTGCATCAGCGAAATCACATGAGCCTTCAGTGCGAGCTAGGAGCGAAGCAATGCAACATATGCACTGACGGCCGGAACATCCTTCTCTCTTAGGAAAGACGTCTGTGCGGTGGCCTAACAGCGCTCTTCAGATTTACAAGTACAGTAGAGACAATCGAGCCATGGTGGTTCGAATGATTTTCGACAGTCCAACGACCGTGCGGTCGAGATGATTGAGGAGATGTCGGATCACAGGGATCGATGCCTTCCCCAGCGTGGAGATCAGCCGAAGTTCCCTCGCAGGAGAATTCAAAGGATATGAGAACGAAGGGTGTCAGTACATCAGGGACCGTGTGAAAGGAGGTATTCTGGACCTTATTCTGCTGGGGGGTGCTCATTTTATGCATCGAAAATGGGAAATTATTCAACGACGTCGTCTTGAGGAACCTCAATGGCCATGCAATCCGAAACTCGGATTGGGCTTTGTCATGCATTCAAGCAGACTTGCGACACCGCATAGCGAGGGTTGCAGGCACCACCTGGTTGGATGGAAAGGTTATTACAGATTCCACAATGTCATCAAGTGCGATGAATGCGGATGGGGTCCGATTGATGACCTCATCAAGATGGAGGTTCTCTGGTCGAACCAATACCGCGGGATCACCGACATGGCCTCGCATACCAATGAGGACCAAAGGAGAAGAGTATACAACGAAAGGTTGCAATTGCTCTTTCAAGGCAACGTCATCAATGCCCAGCCAAGGCGAGGTTGAAAGATTAGGTTGCAGTTCTTGGGAGTCAAGTTGAAGGAACCGCCTGTCAGGCCTTCACACTTAAGCGTACCCCATTCCAACACGCTGGTCAACATGCGAGATCAGGTGACGGAATTGCAGTCTGATCGGGACACAAGAGGCAGAAACCGTTTGATTTCGCAATGTGATGGATGGATAAGGCCATGGGCAGCCAGGGCCATCAGCGGACATTCAGTTCCCCCAGATCCTTCCAAGAATTTGCTCGAGTTGGACACCAAACAAGTTTGCGATTTCTCCTTCGATGAGCTTGCTGAATAAGATTGGTGGTGCTTACCATGCGACCGCTTGTCGGAACATGGCCTCCATCATGAGGAAAGGCATCATCCCAGGTGCCACTTCTCCTTACGGTGATGAAGGATACCTTGGTAGGCGAAACGAAAGCGGACGAGTACACAGCTACTTCGGCCTGTTTACACCGTTTGACCCCAGGAACGTCACTACAAAGACGAGAGCACACGGTCATCGCAACAAGAGGATGCCCATGGCTGTTCTGTACATTCCCTCTGCAGGTCTTGTTCGACGTGCGGGAAGGGTTACGGACAGCGACACCATCATTGTTGGGCGTCCGGTTCCTTTCAAGCTCGTCAGGGAGGTCTGGTTCTGCGTTCCTGATAACAGGGACAATCAGTCCTTTTGCCTCGTTGCTCATGAGAAGATCTTTGACGAACGGCTCGAAGACGAACTGGTGCTTGACTTGCACCCCTCGCCGCTCCTTCCGGACTTTAAGAAAGAAAGGACGCCGGGTCGTGTGATGGAATTGCTATGCGACATGCCGTCAGGAGTCAGGACCCCACAATAGTGGGAAAGAAAGGTTGCTATGCCAGCTCGCCAACACGGTGGAGATGCCTCATGATGATACCCGAAGACACCGCTTCATGAGGGAGGGCATCCTTTTCATCATCAAGAACACTCGTCCAGAAAATTTACGCATGGGTGAGGAAAGAGATGGGATGAGCATGCGAATTTGCCCCGCTTGCTACAACATGGTTGCTGCGTGTACGACAAGGTGCACTGTGTGTTGGTCACTGTTCATTTCGTGCCGCAAGTACCAAAGGAGTGCGCGAGGTCCCTAGCTCAAGCATTGCGCAAACCATGGAAACAGCTACGGCAGCAGTAACCATCCTGATCGAGGACGATGATGAACCAGAAGCGGCGGAGACAGCCACAATCGCTGAGCCACAGATGGAGGTCGATGCTCCTGCCCCTTCCGAAGCTGAACCTGAACCTGACGAAGAAAGGATCCTTGAAAGTGTGGAGATCGAGGAGGAGATCGAGGAGGAGGTTCCTCAGGAAATTGCTGAGGAAAGACGGCCCGTTATCGTGCCAGGGCGGACATTGGTCACAGATCCAGAATCCAGAACTTGAACAAGCTCGCACCGCCGCTTGCTTCCACACGCAAGAGAAGTTCCGACAGGGACAACGGTGTGACTTTCTTGGAAGTTGGCCGAGCGCTTTGTCGCAGGTCGACCCAGAAACGCTGATCAGCAAAGAAGTCACAGATGAGGAAATTCTCGCTCGTTTACAAGAATCTCGAGAAGATCCCAATGGTACTTACATGCTGAAGTGCTTTCGGGTGAAGCAGATTCTTTCAACCCTAGTCAGAGGATCGATTCAGATGGGTTACACGAGGGAGACGGTCAACCCCGAGACCTACATCAACAGGGGCCAAGATGAGAAGGGGATGCATTTCAGCTGCCTGAGCATACTCTGCGAGATCATTCCGAAGATCACCGGGTACACCTCGTTCTCGCTGATTCGGCTGACCCCAGTTGGTCCTACCAACTTCTTGTACACCAATCCTGTTGGAATTCTTCTTATGCAAAGTTCCACGGACAATTCTACGTTGACGATCGGGCTGATCATCGACCACAACATTCAGGTCCCGGCAAGGTTCGTAGACAAGATCGCAAAGCGAAAGGTCGACGAAGAAAGGGACCTGCAGCAACATGCTCAACGTCATGCGCTACAGCATCTTACGGCCGCCGAGTACTTGACCACGGGACAGACATCAATCATGGACACAAGGCTCACTCAGGAAGAACGTGAACGAGTCACACGTCCAGCCGCTCCCAAGTCTGCGCCCAAAGCGGAGCCGAAAGGTCGAGACCATCGTCGAGAACCCTGGAATGCCAATACCTTAACAAGGGCTCAAGCAAAGGCAAAGGGAAGAATCCGGAGGAGAACCTCAGACCATGGGATCGTGATGGACCTGAACGCACGCAGCCCTGGGTCAGGGACAATTCGTGATGCTGCTCCACAGCGGTCAACTTCGTGACACTGCCAGATGAAGGTGATCTTCACTCGTGGCCACTTTCTCCGGTGACGCCTGATCCTGAACTGCCATTTCGGGGGATCGTTACTGACGTAGTTGAGTGACTTTGAATGTCACAACATGTCTAATTGGGATGCAAGGCTCTTTTTCAACAATGTCAAAACTGCGGCGAATATTTCGTTTTGTGTAACCGCGACTTCCAGCAGGTGAGTGATGCCGGAGGCACAACTGAAGGGGGGTGCGAACGGACCTCGATGCCTAGTCCAATTCGTGGGCGTCGCTATCAGAGCTATGAAAACCAAGTCATGAGTTCATCATGTACATAGAGCAGGACACAGTTTTGTGGGTTTTTGTCTCACTCACGCCTGTGTATGGGACCGCTTGTCGGACCATGTCACAGAGCCAATCTTGTCTGTTCCGCACATCGCAATTATGGCTCAAATCCAATGTGTAGGCTATACTAAGGAGCATACTCTTTTGCCTAGTTAGCAATAGGTGGATGCTATCGATCAAGAGGAGAAGAGAGCCATCCCATGCATAGACGACTCGTTGCTTATCTCAGACGAGAAGGATTGGTGCGTGTACTAACCATCACTGGACGTTTAACAGGGCAACCGAACAAACTACCTATCAGCTCTTGGTGAGGGGAGCAATCATGGCAACAGCCAAGTCCGGAACCTCACGCAAATAGTACATTAGTATTATAAAATACTACAATAGCATAATGCCTGCAGTAGGTTGTCTCTAGCCTACTTCGATGGTCTCGGAAATCTATGCATACTGAACAGTATACGTTGTGTCTTGGCCTGAAGGTTACTTAAAATGTTCAGTGTGTTGATTAGTTAGTTAGTTGGTTAGTGAGTTTGTTAGATAGCTAGCTAGTTACTTAGTTAGGAAAGAGCTCAAACTACGATATGCTTTTGGTTCAATCTACTACGAGATATTTTGAATTTCTTCAATACTACAGTTGGGTAGAATTAGAGTTACGGCATATTATATGAATATCACTCGGAGGATCCCTTGCCACACTTCACTCAACAACAGCTTCGACTCAACAACTTTGCGGATTCCTGCGCGTAGGCGTCTCAGCATCGTGAACGGCCTTCACTTTGAAAGGTTTCTAAAACGCTCAATAGAGCTGGCAGAGGCGTATTTGCGGAAAGTCCCGCTGCCGGGCAACCTCTGGAAGCTCCTTTGGCGTGACCTTGTGCACGCTTGTGTCATTATTTCGCGCCGCGTAGAGCATGGACGAACCACTACTGGACTGGGGGAAGAATGCGAGCCACACAACCTTGCCTCGCTGGGCTCAGAGCTCCAGAGCAGCTACCGATTGCCTCCGCTGGGTGATCTTTTGGCCGAGTTTGGTGGAATCAGCACTGTCTAAGAAAAGAGCCGTCGTGCCCGTACCGTTTGGAGTGGTGAGGCATCGCATGCAAACAGTTCGGAATGCCGGACGTGCTCGTGGGTTCTGGTACTTCGGGGTTCCGAGCTAGATGAGCTCTTCTTGGGATATGACAGGCTTCAGTCCGACCTGCAAGGATTTAGCAAATCAAGTGCCTTTGGCCTTTCATCATCTTCAGGGCATCGGCAAGTCCGCCTTTGGGGTGGAGTTCGCTCACTTCGCGACAGCACCGGGACGCCCCTTCTCGCAACCTTGGCTGCAGACGAAGCAGTGTTTCGTTGCAGACTGTCTTCGATCAGTGTTTGTGGAAACCGCTTTGTTCCTGAGAATTCCAGGTGCTCTTCGCAGATTCTGAAGATAGAGTCGAGCGGTGCTGTCAGCACACGCCTCAGATACAGGGTACCTCCACCGACGGCGAGGGAAATAGTCTTTACAAGATGTCTGGTGTTCAGGCCCGCCCGTAAATTCTGTGCTCGCAATCCTTTACGAAAGAGCCAGCACATGCACATAAGAGCGACACAGTTGTTACAGTTAGCAGAGGTACTCGTGACTGCCCAATGACGCATTCGAGTCGCAGAGACGGCTTCACCGGCTTTCACCATTGTTAACATCAGGTCCGAGCGTATCATCTGGCCTCGTAAAGAGGAAGCTCATATCGAAAACAACCTGAAAGAATGCAGCACTGGATTGTGCCAGAGTCCCCGCCGCATGAGTCCTGAGGAGTTTTGGGGTTCAGGGTCCAAGGTGCAGCGGCGAAGTTTGCTTTCCTGGAATGCCCTTTGGTTCCCCGTTTCGGGGCGCTGTCCCCAGGTTCCTTCCTGAAGATTTCCGGTTGCGTTTGGGCTCCATCTCAGGACTGCAGTCCAATCCGCAAAAGTGGCAGCAAAGTCTCCTTCACCAGAGTCCCGATGTGTGCAAGAAGCTGTGTGTGCGAATCCGGCTGAAATCTTCCATCATGATCAGGGACGGCTGGAATAGATCCGAAGCGGCGGAACACTCTACAGAACATTTATGTCAAGCTATATTACTGACTAATGATTGGGTGGGCGCCAAGGCAAGCGTACGCTTATGTCAAGGACATTTTTCAAACGATCACTTCCTTCTGTAAAACTCAGTTGCCGACTCAAACTATTGACGGACCCAAAACACTAAACCCCTAAGCCTAGGCCCCCAATGCGCGGACCTTCGCAAAAAAGGCTTGTGCATCTTGTGCCATCGTAAGTGACGACACCCCTCAACCACTAAGCCCAAGTGTCAAAACTCTGAAACCCTTAAGCTTTAATCCCCGTGCCCCCAGTCCCAGAACCCTAAACCCTTTAGATCTCTGAACCACCCTCACCCTGAAGTTCTATCCTAAATCCACAGAGGTGGCATCGGCCAAAACCCAGTGAACAGCATGTGGCCGAGTACAAGATTGTCTATATGGCTCAAGCTCCCCCAACCATGTCGTACCAGCAGCCTTGAAGCTTTTTGTCTTGCTGCCGTCTCCGAACTCTCCGACACCGCCTGTAGCCGCTGTGGCTTCCGCTTCATGTAACACCTAATGTTCCATGTCCAAGGCGTGGCCCACTTGCTGCTGGAAGGACTTGAGGCCTTGGCCAACCAGCTCGAGGCCAGCAGCGCCGAAAAGTTTAAGATGTAGCTGCCACGACGCCTTGCAAAAATACAGAAGAAAGCTTGCATGGGATATGCAAGGGGGAGCAGTGTTTGATCTAATGGCGCCGGTCCACGCTGCAAGAATGTCGCACACCTCATGCAATTGAAGCTTCCCGGCTTGATTGCCACCTTTGAACTCAGCACAGGTTTCCTTGCGGCCTTTCTCTGGCGATTCAAGGCACGAGAGGGGGGTTCGGTCGAATCGGCTTGGCTCCGAGACTCTGGTCCCTGTAGCCTTTGCAGCAGTCCGACTAGCAGACAGACCCATTGATGCTGTGCAAATGTATTCAAGCTGCAAAAGCTCGAGCAGTTCAGCTTTATTTGCAAGATCGGACGACCCGCATCGCCCTTCACCAGCTCACGCAGTTGTTCACACAGCCTCTAGGATCCTGTGGCTGTGGTCTCCCAGAGAATTGCTGGAAGCTGCGTCGAGACTAGCAAGACTCAGCTGCAGAAGTTTCTAGTCTCTTTCAGCCTAGGGCCAAGATGGAAACATGCTGTGAAGCAGCCTGAGCTACGGTCTCAAGACTCTCAATGCCTCCACACAACTGGAAAGTTGGCACATCGGTGCTGTCTCCACATGTTTGCGTGCGTGCGTGCGGGTGGGCAGCTGGGGGATACTCCCATTATCTCTCATTCTCATGTTCATGTCCATCTCATCTCTTGCTGTGCCATTGCTGGTGTCTGACACTGCGAAGGCAGGACCCACACCCTCACGGATCATTCTCACTGCAAGTTTTTCATGCCATTCCTGATGTTTGGCAGCATGCTTGGCACCCCAAACTGCATCTCATGGTCGTTTACATCACCATCATCAACACCGTCTTGTTTCATGAGCAACAGCAGCAGTTGCTGCAAGTCTCCATCCGGGAGCGCAGACAACACTTCTTCAGTGTGTCTGTCTGTGTGTATCCCTCCGTGTCTGTGTGTGTGTGTGTGTCTCTGTGTCTGTGTCTGTGTCTCTGTGTGTCTATGTGTCTGTGTGTGTGTGTGTGTCCGTGTCTGTCTGTCTGTCTGTCTGTCGGTCTGTCGGTCTGTCGGTCTGTCGGTCTGTGTCTTTCTGTCTGTGTGTGTGTGTGTGTGTGTGTCTGTGTCTGTGTCTGTCTCTGCGTCTGTGTGTGTGTGTGTGTTAGTTTTGGAAGCCTGCAGCATCCTACAGCTGCAGCTTGCTAAAGGGGTGGCACTGTCTGGACTCCCACTGGTGGTGCAGGAGTTCCTTGTGCTCTTGTCAATCGGCCCCACAGTCTGTCAGGCGGATTCGGGCGGTCGCAGTCGCACTCGAAGCTTATAATGCACTTCCGCACACATGATATTAAGAGTCTTGCAGGTATGGCCTTTTTCTCTTGATGACTTGCAAAAGTTGAAGGGAATAGTTTCGGACTGAGAGCAGCAGCCATGTGGGAGGCCGCCTAACAAGCTGGAATCTAAGCACACGGTTTTGACATGTGCACGCCATGGCTACCTCATTTCCTGCCAGCCATTCCTGCTCAAGCTGTACAGAGCAGCGTGGCGTGTTACCTAACCCTGCGGCACATCGTAGTCCTGCAAGTGTTCAACGCAAAACTTCGGCCATGAACGGTGATGCTAGGTTCTTGCAGCAAAAATGAAGAATTACAGCTCGCTTTCTACCTAGTCGAGCTCACGGGCAGTCCACAAGCTCAAGAAGAAGCGTGTTGCCGCGAGTAGACGTGCCAGCTGGAGCTGGCAGCGCCCAGGGAGTGGGCGAAGCAACGAGCTGCTGGCCTGTAAGCCTCTCCAAGTCGAGTCGTTTCCATTCCCGCAGCATCCTCTTCCTTTGGCAAGCTCTGGTAGCCATCTGCAGGAGGTTTACTCCCTTCTCCTTCCCCTTCTTTCTGGCCCGAGCCACCCAAGATAGCAAGAGCATGCTAACCTGAAATCTCGGTTCAACCAGGCAATCAAAATCAGAAAGCGAGTGCTCAGGTCATGACAAATGGTGGATATGACTCCGCAGTTACCTCAGCATGCACATGCATTGAAAATTGCTTGCAATATCGTGTCCTTGCCATACGGGGCATGGATTTTCCAAAAACGTTCCAGAACATCCAACTGACATCAGCTTATTGTGATGAATCACACCGCTTAGCAGATCCTCAACGATGTCACGATGTTAAATAAACGTTCACAGGCAACAGCCACATCCGAGGTGAAGCGTTTTGTGGACGTTGATGGGCCGGGAGTTGTACAGACGGAAAGCTCAAAGAGGCAGTGTTGCCTCACCTTCACGGATGCGGGCACGCTGCAGTTGCGTTTCTTAGTCAATACTTCATTATGAGAACGGTTGTACCGTTGGCCTTCAACCCTAAGCCTAAGCCCCAGTTTGATGTGCAGTCTTAGCTTCTCCTTACTTGCCAGTACGTAAAAAGGCACGCCCCCTTTGTGTTCAAGTCATGGTATATATCTGAAGTGAGCAGTGGATCCTTTGCATGTCAGAGGCGCCAGTACGATGCTGCAGAGTCAGCAGCAAAGCCTGAGAGTGTGTAATGTCGATGTCTCAACCGGGGCCTTCCTAAGGCATTTTTCTAGGACACCACAGCTAGCTTCATCTGACTAAATCTCAGCACCATTGGAACAAAACGGAGCAAGTGCCCACTAGACACAGCCCAGGTATCACGAACATATTGCAGTTTCAATGTTGTCTGTGCTCGTCGAAACGCGTAGAAATTCGCCGAAGATTCTCTGAACTCATGAAGATGTTGATGACTGTTCGTCCTTATGAACGGGCCATGACACCACTTCCATGACATCCGAACCATGTGCCGGAGCTCGCCCAGCAGATTGCCAACAATCTTTCGATCCACCGAAGTCAACGGTGTATGTATGCGTATGTGATTTAATCCACATGTCTTCAAATTACGAAAGCCTTACGAAACCCATTGACGTTTTGATTCGGCAGGCAAAGGACGTGTCAAGAGACTCACCAAAGAGGTCAACCGGACGTTTTAAGTTTTGTAATTCCAACATTCGGTGCAACATATGTGGGTATAGCCGCTGGTAGTGATAGTAATTGAAAGCCAGGTAACACAGCTTGATGCTGTGCGTGAAGAGTCTGGACTTCCTGAAGCAGACAGACACATTGATGCATACATGCATGCATGCAGCATGCATACACCCACACAGAACACATGCGATGCCGTGCCCTGCCATTGCTGACCATAACCGTAACCGCATCCATGCCATGCCATACCATACCTACACACAAACACACCGGCATGCAGACAGACAGAGATGTGTGGAGATACATGCAGTCCGAATAGCAGAACATGTGTTTTCCTGCGTTCTGAACTGACATGTAAGAGTACCTCGCAACATCATATTGAGTAGATGTTTTGCAGAGGTTGATGCCGTTTCGCTTCAGCTTAAGTATGTGTGTGTACACGTGCCCGCCCCGTTTCCGGCTGGTGGCTTTTGGCCGAGCTCAGCAAGCAAGATAGTCCGTCCCCGTCTCGAACGAAAAATGCAACTGTCGTATGCTTGGCTCAGCAATTCCGCTAGTGCAGTTGGATCTTTGCTGTGCAGGCCGGCCGATCCGAGTGATCCTGGGCTCGGACTCGGCGTCTTCGTTCAGGCGTCTCGGCTGGGGCATCCCATCCTCATCTTGAACCTTTAGGAAGATGTTCTGGGATTCAAGCTTTGCTTTGGGGTTAACCCAATCCGGGTTCTACACCTCGAGCTATTGTAATGCTCTGCGTCACTGACTCTTCGCAGCACCGCCAGACACCTTGCTGACAAAAGGATTGCAGATTTGTTCTGCGTACACCTCAATAGCTGCCGAGCACACGAAACACGCACACTGATTGCATAGTGTGTTTCTCTATGCCCGTCACCATCCCATCGCGGAGCAGGACCCTGCGACAGAGCAGCAAAGTCTCTCAGCCGCTTGTCTGTGCAGAGCTTGAGTGCCAGAAGGGTGTACAGGCATGTACAGGGTGCAGGATATCAAATCTAGCAGTAGCGTGGCTGGTACACATCACTGTCCTGCAATTAGTCTAATTAGTGTCAGTTCGGTTGATTCCGAAACGTAACAGCGGCTTCCAGGCAGTTTGTTTGTCATCTTCCGTAGCCTGCACTCGAACAACCGCGCAGAGCTGTTCTCAGTGCGAGTGCTTTGGTTTGTCCCTGCGCTTTTAGTTCGAAACCTCTTAGCCTAGGACGACCATGTCGATGTCGAGGTCTCGCCAGCTGTTCTCAAGCGAAGTTTCCGCAACTGCTTGCAAGGGGCTGGCATCGGGCTGTGCAGATAAAAGTAGCTTGAGTGACCAGGCTTTTGCCATGACAACCTATGTAGGTCTCCCTCTCCCCCTCCCTCCCTCGCTCTCTCTCGCTCTCTCTCTCTCCGTCTCTATCTCTATCTCTATCTCTGTCTCTCTCTCTCTTTCTCTCTCTCTGTCTCTCTCTCTCTCTCTCTCTCTCCCTCCCTCCCTCCCTCCCTCCCTCTCTCTCTCTCTCTCTCTCCTCCTCTCTCTCCCCCCCTCCCCTCCCTCCACTCCCTCCCTCCCTCCCTCCCTCTCTCTCTCTCTCTCTCTCTCTCTCTCTCTCTCTCCCATTCTCGCGCCGTCATGCACGCATGCATGGAACATGCGGCCGATAAACGCAGGAGGAATGGGAACAGCTGGACCCAACTTCTGCAATCTTGGTTGCTCGCACGACAGGAAGTTTCTTTCAGGGTCCGGTACATTGCCGCACAGCTCTTGCGATGCAGTTCGGAGCGAGCGCCGCCCTGATTTTGCCTTGCTGCATTCAGCCCAACTGTGGCCAAGCTCCCCACTCTAGCTGCACGGAACCTACCAGAGGGCTCCAAAACCGCGTGCAAGCCACAAGCGAAAATTGATGAGTAGCCCCTGCCCGCCCTGAGGGCTGCAGGTTGTTTCTTGGATCCCATTCAACTGAGGAAGCTATGAACTCGAAGGAGTCTCCCGCAGACACCGTGGAACGAGCGGCAGACTACTCTTCCATGCTCCTGGGCAACAGCTCTATGTCAATGTAGGGAAGGATTATCTACAAGCATTATTTGGGAGGCAATCCGACCAACAAATTTGAAATAGATGTTGGCGCAGATTTATATTCAATATTATTCAATCATACATATCCATATATATATATATATATGTATATATAGTATGTGGATCAAGCCTTCCGGACCTCCGGCGACGGCGATAA